CGTGTACTAACAAGTTGAGTCTCCCAGATATAAAACTACTCAAGAATGACTTATATCACCTTTATTGTCCACCAAACTCATTGGGTTATCGAGTTATATAAATTATCTTTTCTGATTCTTTTCAACTAATAGCACCCCCATGCATGACAACTATTAAACATTTCAACCTTTGTGCAAAACTATGTGGAAATGGAGATATAGGTTTCTTTGCCCCTACGCACACTCGTGCGGATACAATGACATAGGTTCCTTGACCTTTGTGCACTCTAGTACGGATTCGATAACTTAGATTCACCGACCCCAGCGGACTCTAGTACAGATACAATAAAATAGGTTCACCAACCTCAACGCACACTCGTGTGGATACAATAACTAAGATTGACTAACCTTAACGCACACTTGTGCGGGTACAATAACATACGTTCACTAACCTCAGCGTAGTCTAGTGCGGATACAATAACATAGGTTCACCAATCTCAGTGCACACTCGTGCGGATATGATGTCAAGGGAAAAGTGTACTCGAAACCATACTTAACCAAAATCCTCCTCTAGGGTACCAACACGTGTACTACAACACTATTCACGAATAAATATGACCACATATGTATTATCATGCAACTCAAGCGTCGTGCTCGCATTTCGAATTAAAACAACACAATGTTAGGAAGAACAGCCTTAGTAGTCGACTACACCGAGTCTACCCAGACTCTGTAAAATATGAATCAGTATTAGTAGTTAACTATCTTGTATATTAGTCGACTACTCTGTAATCACACAGATTCTATAAAACAAAACTGGACATGAGTAGTCGACTACTACTCTTAGTAGTCGACTACTACTCTTAGTAGTCGACTACTACTCTTAGTAGTCGACTACTAAGCAGAAACATGCACACATTCGAGTACATACATCACTTAGCAACTGTCACGTATTTATCATGCTTTAATAGCTTACAAAGCAAGTAATTACAAATCAAAAGAAATCATATTCATGATTATTTAAACCCTTAATTCGACTAATTAGGTTTAATCTTCTTATTAGTCAAGAAATTAACATAAACCCTAGTTATCAATAAAATTAACATGAACATGCTTGCATATTAAGCTTGAAACTTATATAATTTTATTTATTCATATTTACAAAACAAAAATACCCCAAACCTAGGGTTTAATCAGACTTAATTAACATGTAACCTCTTTATATCACAAGGTTAGGGTTTTGAGCATGATTAACACATAGAAAACAAGATACAAATGAAGATCTACACCCTCTAATGATCATGATCACTCTTCTATTATAAATAGCAAGCCAAACATGTAGATCTAATATCAAGTTAAGATTTTATATCAAAAATCCTCTTTTATCATGTTAAACAGTTAAATCTAAGCATCAAAATATTCATACTACTTAATAACCCAAGATCTACACTATGGGTAAGGTTTGGATGCAGGAGACCTTGCCTCAATCACGGTGTTGATCTCCTGAATGTGTGTGCAAAGTCCTTTCTTCAGCTACAGTCCTCGATCTCTCCCTGTGCTCGATGTCATGCCTCAAAACGCCTCGAGGAGCCCAAAAATGGCTCTAGGGTTTAGGGGGAAGGAGGTGGTTGTATTCTCTAGCGAATAATCTCAGGAATTAGGGTTTTTACATGTTTAAAAACTAAATATATTAATTGGGTTCGAAAACAAAACAAATCCGACCCGAAAATTGAAACCTGGCACGTCCAGGAATTCCCGATAGTCGACTACTTATGCTTAATAGTCGACTACACTATACTATTTAAGATTATGTCAATTAATTACGGGCTCTTAGTAGTCGACTACTAGGAAAGTTAGTCAACTATTAAGAGTCTGTGCAAGCTTATTCATTCTCATACTCGGGAATATGTAACCGAATTGATCTCAAATCAATTCCTAATGTACTCAAATATCAAAATATGCTATTTATCATAGTATAACATATTAAATATCATTTATCATATAATATTCAAATTTGTGGGGTTTTACATCTCGGTTTCGAGAAGGGAGTGAAAGGCTACAAGCTGTGAGATCTGAAAAACAAGAAGAAAGTGCTGAGTAGAAATGTTGTGTTTGATAAAAGACTATGAGCTAAAGCTATTGACAAAGATGAGGATTTTGAAGAGAATCATTGTTGTACTAAAATTTCTTTGTCAATGGAAGGTTATATTCTAAAAAGTCAAGCTGAGATAGAGCAACACGAGAGCAACAACAAGTCGAAGAGGTTCATGTAGAACCTACAAGCATAGCAAAATCAAGATAGAGAAGAGTCATCAAGCCTCCTCAACAATTCGGATGGGAAGATGAAGCCTACTATGCACTCTTAGTTAGCGAAGAACATCCTTCTACTTTTAAAGAAGCCATGGAAAAAGATGAGCGGCAAGAATGGATAAGTGCTATGTCGGAGGAGATGGAATCTCTCCATAAGAACTCTGTTTGGGAGTTAGTTTCGAAACCGCAAGATCGAAAGATCATCGGTTCCAAGTGGGTTTATCAGAAGAAGGAAAGCATCAATAAAGTGGAGGCTCCTACCTACAAGGCAAGGTTAGTTGCGAAAGGGCTTCTCGCAAAAGGAATGTGTAGATTATGGTGAAATTTTCTCTCCGGTGGTCAAGCATACATCCATTCGGGTGTTTCTATCTCTTGTAGCGCAGCATGACATGTAGCTGGAACAACTCGATGTGAAGACAGCTTTTCTTCATGGAGATTTGGAGGAAACCATCTATATGGCTCAGGCAGAAGGATTTGTGGAAGAAGGAAAAGAAGACTTTGTGTGTAGATTGAAGAAGACTTTATATGGGCTCAAGCAATCTCCAAGACAATGGTACAAATGCTTTGACTTCTCCATGCTCTGAATTGGCTACAAGAGAAGTGAGTATGATTGTTTTGTTTACTCACGCACATTTGATGATGGACACATGATTATTTTGATGTTGTATATGATGACATGTTGATTGCATGTCGAGATATGTCAAAAATAAATAAACTCATAGGAATGTTGAGTTTGGAATTTGACATGAAAGATCTTGGTGTCACCAAGAAGATTCTTGGAATGGAGATTAAAAGAGACCGGAATAATGGGAGATCGTATTTATCTCAAAACAAGTACATTGGAAAGGTTCTTGAAAGATTCAACATGGTCAATTCCAAGCCCGTGTCCACTCCATTGGCTACTCACTTCAACTTAAGTACAAAGCAAATATCATCTACAGAAGTTGAAATTGAAGTTGAAGAAATGGAGAAGATTCCGTATGGAAGCGCAGTTGGGTGTTTAATGTACGCAATGGTATGCACAAGGCCAGATCTCGCTCAAGCTTTAAGTGTGGTCTCAAAGTACATGTCAAATCTAGGTAAAGATCACTGGCAAGCTGTCAAATGGATTCTCGGAAACCTGAAGGGCACCAGAAACAAGGGAATTATGTTTGAAAGACAACATGAAGGGGCGAGCATCACTGGTTTCGTCGATTCCAATTACGCATGAGATTTAGACAATAGAAGATCCACAACGAGATATATTTTCACCTGCGGTTGAGGACCCATATCTTGGAGATCCATGCTACAATCCATCAATGCCTTGTCTACCACAGAAGCCGAGTACATGTCATTAACGGAAGCTGCGAAGAAAGTCGTATGGCTCAAGGGCTTAGCAAGTGATTTAGGTCTAAATCAAAACTCTGTAAAAATTCAATGTGACAGCCAGAGTGCTATTTGTCTTGCAAAGAATCAGGTATTTCATGTAAGGACAAAACACATTGAAGTGCGCTATCATCGGATTCGTGATTGGCTCATGACTAGAGAGTTCGATGTGAAGAAAGTTCATACAGATGAGAATGCAGCAGATTTTCTCACTAAACCAGTTACGACGGAGAAGTTCGAGCATTGCTTGAGTCTTCTAAATCTAACGACATGTTAGCTCATGAGTGCACCTAGTCACTAGAGATGCGGGGAGATGAGTTGATGCTCATTAAGATGAAGCAGCTGAAACCAGAGCAACACTTGCTCTGAAGTTCTGGAGTCTTAACTTCTTAGATTTTGAAGATCCAAGTTTCGGAGACAAGTGTTCATAATTCAAATGAAGATTGGCATTTCGAAAACTCATATTCCGAAGACTAATGCTCCAAAGATGCAGCTGACAATTTCAAGTGGCATCGGATATCTCTTTAAGGTGGAGATTGTTGGAGTTGGCTCAATTTCTAACTTAATTATTGTTGTAATTTTTTGCATACAGATATAATTTTGTATGGTCTTTTCAGACATGATGCAGTCATTATTTGCCTCGGAACTCTACATGAAAATTGTAAAGGTGCATGCATAATTTACTCCTAGCTTTGAATCTCAGGAATCGGAGCAGTATTACTGGAGTTATGATCAGTCAAAGTATCCTATCCGAATCTGAACAAATTTGTATATTCTCAAGCATCTTGGAAGATAAAAAAGTAGACTAGAAGGTTCATCAAGGCCTATAAATTGACATGCTCTCATTGTGAAGGTGTAATCCAAGTTTTACACTTATTTTTTTGAAAATATAGAGAGCTGGAGTGAAGGAGAATCCCATGTGTTGTAGAGATCTCTAGTGTTGAGTTAATATAGAAGGAGCATGTGTGAGGGTTGTGTGAAAGTCAGCGTTGTCGGGTGTGTCGTGAGTGTCTTATACCCATTTGTTAATTCCATTATAGTAAACTATCCTACGAGCTCCGAACTCAACCCATGATTTTTCTCGTTTAGATTTTCCACGTAAATTCTTGTGTTTATTCTTTGTGTGATTATCTTTTATCTTTTTGTCATTAAAAACAAGATCCTGAAATAATATTAAGAAGTTTTACGGTTCATCAACATCAACAAGCTTATTCCCTCCAAACATCTTTACTTGAATAAGTACTCATTCATGCATTAAAAGAAGTCATAGTCATGTTGATGACATGACTAACCATTATCTCCGTCATTAATGCGATGACATGATAGTTAATATTTCATCACCCCCACAGATGAATTCCCCTTTTTGTTAACAAAGTGAAACAGCACATATAGAAGCAAACAAAGAAGCTAGTAGAGCTTACATATATTTTCATATATAAAAGACCCAAACCACGACACTAAGCTCCTTCAACTTAGCTATAGCTATTACACTAAATTAAGAGTAACATAAAACATCCAAAAAAGTCCAAGCTACATTTTATGATTATGTCAGCTGATTAAGATTTGCTGCTACTAGCATTGTTGGAGTTGTTGTTGGGCCCAGCGTTCGTTGGGCTTGTGCTGGACTTTGAGAGCTTCTGCTTGAGTTCAGATAACAGAGCCTGGTTCTCTTGGTTAAGGAGCTGGGCTTTCTTCCTTAGCCTCTCATTCTCCTTTATTATGTAGCAGTTCTGCAGGTACAAGTTAGAGTTGAGCCTCTCCATCACCTGACCTAAATTTTCAGACCCTGAAATCATAATAGCACACGATTTTTAGTAAGGAATAATAACATTAAAAATATAGTATAATTAGCCCCATTTTTATAAGAAAACCATGCTAAAAACATTTAATCAATGTGCCTCAATGCAAATCTCCAAACATTTCATCTATTAGAAATTTAGAACACATGAAATTTTGCAAATAATTTGTGAAGGAGTATACATAGACTATAGCATTACGAAAAGAGAAGATAGCAACAAAGAATTTCCTTTGTATAGAAATAAATAAATAAATAAATAGAGTAATTGACCAAAGAGCCATATTTATCCTTTCTTGTGTGATAACTTGCTTAAAGAAACCACATGCATTATAGAGAAAAGCCCAAGTAGAAGAAAAATACATCGAGGATGCAAACATCACGTAGCAAGCTCCACACTAAATTGACTCTACAATAGCTAGACAAGAAAAAGTATGGAAATAGGTTGATCCTCTTGCACTATGATAACTTGTGTTTAGAGAAAACACTTGGATGCATAAATAAATCAAGAATGCAAACATCACTTAACAAACTCTACACTCAATTGACTCTACAAAAGCTAGACAAAAAAAGGTATGGAAATAGATTGTTGTATTATGATAGCTTGTGCTTAGAGAAAACACTTAGCTGCATAAATAAATCAAGAATGCAAACATCACTTAGCAAACTCTACACACAATTGACTCTACGAAAGCTAGACAAGAAAGGGTATGAAAAGTAGTCAACTACCAAAAAAGTCTCTTCCTATGAATATAGAAGCTTTAAAAGGCATGCATTTTCATTGCAAGAAGCTTTATACATTCACCTTTTTGGTTGTTGGCCAACTTTTCTTTGACAGGTAGAGGAGAAATTTTTTCAAAGAGAATGGAAGAGTTTGTGATGGTTGAGTTTCTGAGTGCTGTGGGGTATATATAGAGCAAGAATGTAGAAAGAGAGAGAGAGAGAGAGAGAGAGATAAATGTGAGGCATCATGAGAGAAGAAGATCTTGATGGCGTCACGTGATGATGAGGGGCTTTGAAGGGCAATTCGAATGATGGTGGATTTGGTCGGCCTAAGATTCGCAATGATGAGGTTCTTTTCTTTCAAGGCTCAAGAGCGAGACAGAGAGAGAACGAGAGGTTGGACTTAAGGCCTTTGGCCTTCCCCCTATTGATTTCTTTCGTTTCCTTTCACCCACTGAGTCAATTAATGTCTTCATAAATCTTTTCTTCAATGTTTATTGTCACATAAATGAAAGATTTCACTTGCATGCTAGCATTAATCCATTTCACTTCCCTCTTTTGATATCTTAAAGGAAGAAATGCTTTATCTACGCAGTCAAGACTTCATATAAAATTTGGTATAAGCATATAATACTCAACAAATTCAAGTAGATTTAAGTATCTCTCATCTCTAACTAGAGAGTGTTCATTTTTGTTTGGTTGGCTGAGAAACTAAGAAAAGAAAATCAAAACATCTGACACACCCATGTGAAGGTATTTGATTTTCTTTTGTTGTGTTTGGTTGAGAGAGAAAAAAATAAAATTGTTGATGATGGTTAACCAAACAATCAAATATGTGAGGGGTGAGATTGATGAGGGGCTGCTCACTTTTCCGAATATCTGATTTTGAGTTTAGTAGTTTTTAGCATGCACAAAGTAGAAATTCGTGAGAGGATGAGGCTTGGTTCCCCCATTGTACCTCTGACGATCAAGTCCGATGGTGAACTTGAGTGTGAAAATGAAGAACTGTGAGAGTTCTTGTGTGTAGTGCAGTATAATTAGCAGATATTCCAAAAAGATAGAATCCAGATCCAGATCAGTAAAGAATAGTACCCAATTCAAGTCTGAAAACTTTGAAGGGGGTTTTGTAGGTATTAAAAATGCCAAACTTCAAGATAAGATGAAGGTCGTCATGGGGATGAACCTCGTCTCAAATCAAAGATAAGACTCGCCACCCAACGATGATCCATATAAAAAATGAGGCTCGCTACACAGCGAGGCTCGATGAAGCTCGTCATTAAAAATGAGATTCGAAGATCATCATTAGAGGTGAGTCTCGTCAGTAAAGACAAAGCTCATCATCAGACTTAAAGCTCGTCAGTGAAGACGAGGCTCATCAAAAGGATATTCACAAGACTTGTTACACAGTTAGACTCAGCTATTGAAGACGAAGTCCATTAGTAAAGACAAAGCTCGTCAGACGAAGTCAGTGAAGATAAAGTTCACTATACTGCAAAGTTGGCTTTATAAGATGAACATCGATGCATATTGAGGCTCGTCTAATCTGATGAACATCACCATGCAGCGAGACTCGTCGTCCGTAGAAAAATCCAGCTGTAACAGATTTGAAGACTTAGTCAGCCACGTGGACTAAGCTTCAGGAGCACGTTACGCCCCATTAACCAACGTGAGCTGAATTGGAGGAGACAGTTACGCCCTCTACCCACAATTCTAGCACGTCAATTGCGTGCTACGAACTCTATAAATAGCCATGAGTGACTATGAAGAAAGGACTTTTGGGAAGATTTTTGGTCATCGTGTGAAGAGAGATCAGAGTCTACATTCTCGTGATCTAAGCCATTGTCAGAAGCTTTGTGATCTTGTTCTGATCGTCAACGGGAGGCAATCTCGGCTTGAGCATCAAGAGAAGCGCCATTTCGCCACTAAGAACCCACTTTTTAACAAAGAAAATTCAAATTAATATTCTCTTCCTCTGTAATCGAGAGAGTGAGTGTTTGTAAGGGATTCGTACTAAGCGATCAAACTCATTCTTTAAACAAGGAATTCAATCATTAGTTTTTCGACCCTTCATCATCAGTGGACTCTCCCCCCCCCCCCTAGGCCTATGAGGGCAGCCTCAGCTGTTGCTACTGCCAAAGTTGGGGCTCCTACTGATGAGGTTGTCAGGCTGAGCCATGGGCCCGAGCCGTCCCGCAGGCCAAGCAAAGAGCCTGTCGGAATTTTAGGGGATGCTAAAGAGCAAGCGACGTTTGATCCGGAGGCTACAGTGGGCGAAGCCAGCAAGGAGCAAGAGGGCTTCGAGTGGCCTTTCCTCCACTAGGTCTCGGAGCTTGACCCCTAGTTTTGGGAGAAGTACAAGAGCCTGCTGATTGGGGTGCCGCTATTCCCCTGCTCACCATGTATGGAGGTCCCAGAGGGTGATAGGCTTGTCACGGAGGTGCCTTTCAATAGGGAGAGCTTAATCTTGGTGTCGACGACTTCCCAAGTCCAATCTGTTCGTCAGTTCGCCCTCCAGAAGGACAAGGTGTTCTTGCGGGAGATGCTAAGCGCCGACTTGCACCTGTCCCTCAAGAGTTATCTGATTCGGGGGGCTTTGGTGGAGGTGAAGTTGTTCTCCCAGTTCTTCCATATGCACAACTTCCCTTCGGAGGTGTAGGCTAAATTAGCCAAGGAGAAGTCGGTCAAGGAGGAAGCGGAAAAGAGGGTCATCACCTTTGAAGCTGAGCTGAACAGCATCAAGGCCAGCAAGCGTCGACAGATGGATGCAAGGGAAAAGCTCCTTAGAGGGTTCAGATCTCATGGAGCCAAGCAAGCAGCCTCCATAGAAAAGCTCTAAGGTGAGGTGGCCTGATTGAAGGAGGAGGTCAGCCATCTTCAGCAAAGCATCTCTGAGTAGGACAGTCGACTGGCTTCTCTAGAGGGGGAGGTCGAGTCCGAGAGGTGCCTCAAGGTGACGGCCGAGGAGGAGGCTCGATCGAGTCGTCTCTTGGCCGAGCAACTGAAAAGAGACCTCGAAGCCGAGCGCTCGTCCTACCAGACGTCTGTCGCCGCCACTTAGGAACCTGGGGGATTGGCTCGCTCGCCTGGACTCAGAGCAGTAACAGGCAAAAGTGCGTCGAATGAACTTCAGCCGCCAGTGCCCCCATTGGCTAAAACTGCATGTGGCATTGGCATTGCCCAAGGCTTGGTGATCGGACTACCTGCCTCGCTGCTCCTTCTGCCTCTCACCCCGTGTCTAGCCACCTTTATCCACCCTGAGTCTCTTGCTACCTCAACCTCCTAAAAGAGATTGAGGTGAGTGGAGGGGGGTTAAAATTGGCATTAGACGACAGTGATGATGAGTCGGGGGATGACCTTAGAGAAGACCCTCCCGCTTTCTCTTCTGTTGTTCCTACCCTTACTATCCCTGCTGAGGGGCTCCCGAGCCCTACTCCTGGATCTGGTCGAGAGATCTGAGGGCTTGTATCTTTTTCATTTCTTTTTTGTAAATATCGACATGCCTTGTTGTAAATATTGACATAGATAATGTAATAAAATTATTTATAATAAACTTTAAATATTGGAATAAAGGTTTAGACTTAGCTATCATTCTGGAGTTTGCTTTCAATTATTCCTTATTTTTGCTCTATTAGCTTGCAGCTTTGTTTTGATTGAGAGAACCAGTGCTGATTATTGTGAGTCGGTCGTGTTGTGACAACCCGAGTGTTGACGGGTCGAGACGACTGGTTTATTTTACGCCTTTTGTTGGTAAGATGTCCGGGTCTTTTGTCGAAGACGACCTGTAAGTTAAAGTCCCTAGGGCTTAGTAAGAGCGCCTAGGTTTTTTGGAAAAATGACAGCTCGAAGGCTAAGTGCCTAGGTCTTAATGAGGATGTCTAGATCTTTTTTGCAAAGTGACAAACCGGAGGTTGGGTGCCTCGTTCTTAATGAGGACGTCTAGGTCTTATCACCCTACTGAGGGTCTCCCTGAGGGCCAAATATTGAAATGACAACCCGAAAGTTAGGTACCTAGGTCTTAATGTAGACACCTAGGTCTTACCACCCTACTGAGGGTCGCCATGAGGGCCAAACGGCTAAATGACAAACCGGAAGTTGGATGCCTAGATCTTAATATGGACACCTAAGTCGTATCACCCTACTGAGGATTACCCTAAGGGCCAAACTATAAAATGCAAGAGCCGACTGAATGGCAAGTGTGCCTTGAATTTACCCTGAGAAGGCACCAAGGGCTTAGAATTCCTACATAGATAGGGCATTTCGGGAGTGCGAAACAAAGAGTCAATTTCAAAAAAGTATTTTATTAATAATAAATTAAACTTGTGTATAAAATTATTAAAAATATCTTCTCAAGTGCTCAACATTCTAAGGATATTATAAGACTCTCTCGTCTGGGGCCCTTAGTTGATAGGTGTCTACTCGCAGCTCTTTTAGGATTATGTACGAGCCTTACCAGTTAGGAGCTAGCTTTCCTCTTCGGGTGTCTTTGTCAAAAAATAGCTTTGTGGAGAACGAGGTCACCAACGCTGAATCTTCTGGGTCGGACCTTGTTGTTGTAGTATCGATCAATTTGTTGCTGACCGATGACCTCGGTCCGGGGTGCCTTCTCTCGGGTCCTGTCTAGGAGATCGAGCCCTACCCGAAGTCCTACTAAGTTCAAGTCCTCGTCGAAATGTTGCAATCGAATGGTCGGCATGCCTACTTCGACTGGAGTGACGGCCTCGACGCCATAAGCTAGCTTGAACAAAGTCTCCCTGATTGAGTTCTTGTGAGTTGTGTAGTATGACCAGAGGATACTAGGCAACTCTTCAACTTAGTTTCTGTTGATGTTAAATAATCACACAGTCAATTATGTTCGTGGTTGGATGGGGGTAGAGTTGATGAGGGGTCGCTTCCTTCCCCGAATATCCAGTTCTGAACAGAGTTGCTGAAAAGTTTGCACATATAGAAATACATGAGAGGACGGGGACTGGTTCCTCCTTAGTTCCTCCGATGATCAATTCAATTGGTAAACTTGAGTGGGGAAAGTGAAGAACTATGAGTTCTTATGTGTGCAATATAATTTGCGGATATTGCTAAACAAGCAAAGGTCAAAAAGTTTGAAGACAGAAATCTCAATCCTCTCTTTAGTGAGAATAGTTCTCATA